TCTCTTTTTGATGCCTGACTTTGATCATAATCCTCTATAGCAGTAGCAAGTCTAGCTCGGTAAGATTCAACTTTTCTGTCCAGTCTGTCTTTGTTTTGCTTTTCATTCTCCCGTTTGACTTTAGCATTGTATTCTCAGTGGTCAGAGCATTAATCTGTCCACTATATTCTAATATTGTTTTTGTTAATATTTCCACCTTCAGTTTTATGGTCTCTTGAAGACTGACATTCTTTTCTTTTATAATTTCAATGCCTTCACAATATTTCTTTTCCATGTCCTGGTTCTTATTGTTTATTGTGTCTCGATCCAGTCTTAGCATGGCAATTTCATCCTGCCACATGTGGGTTTTAGGCAACAGATCTTCTTCTTTTTCATGACTATTAGAAATCTAAGTAAAACAAAAGAGACTTTTAGCTGGAATCCAATAAAATGACATTATCATGATTTTCTCTGAAATTAAAGAATAACCTATGTTTATACAATGAATAGGTTGCAGTTGGTGGATATCCCAACTGGAAAAAAATAAAGTTGGGTCCAAACCTCAAACTTTATACCAGCATAAATTCCCACAGGTTCAAAAATTTAATTGAAGACAGTGAATGCATGAAAGGAAAAAAGAAACCAAGACAAAATTTTTAAGAATCTCAGAATTGGAAAGGTCTTTCTCTGATTTACAACAAACCCAGAAAGCCTGAAATAAAAGATTAATAAATCTGATTACACTAAAAACTGAATTTACAGTCCGATATCTAACACAGCTCCCCCACAATAAAATCCCTAGCTCTGCATTTATTTTGACAGATTAAATTTCCTAAAATTCTTTTTTCCTGACAATATTCCATAGAAATTCTACTTTTCTAACGTTTCTACAGTCAGTTATAAGAACTACACCTACTGATAACTGACAAATCTAAGCACTATACTATAAACACTTCTACATACATCAGTGAACTTTTTGATGATCACAATTCTAGAATGGAGAGGTTAAAAACATTAAGTGAGCTGCAGGACATTCCCCGGGTCTTCTTACTTCACTACTAGTGCTCTTACACCAAACCGCAGCTCTTCTCTAGTGTAAATCATAAATACAAAAGAAGCCTTATGTTTCAAAATACTGATGGTAAATAAGGTAAAATTTATACAGCTCTTAGAAAAATCATGAGATTATTTGCTGCTGCAATAAATTTTATTTCCTCTTCATGATGTTTAAAATGTTTAAAATAGGGGAAAATACACTGAGCTATTTTAGTAGGAATACAACACTCATCAATACGTTATCATTAGCATATGATTGTTTCAAAAGCGCTTTGGATACTACTTGGAGCAAATGGCTACTTTTCTCAAAAGTAGAGACTAAATCCAAAATAAAGTCTCTGAACAGGCTACATTCTTCCTCCTGTTCATCACTGGCAGTGTTAAGCTAACTTCTCTTTCAATACAGAGGTGATGAAGTAACTGCCAAAAATTGAAACATATGTTGTTAGTAGCAATAGTTTTGAGCATATGGAAAGCTCATCAATTCTTATGGAAAATAATAAAAGCCTCTCCTTTGGGTGAGGACATTATGAACGTCACTATTTGACTCTTGCAGACAAACGCATTTAAATTAAGGATATTACTTTATCCACTGGGCCAAAAATGTCACCATCCCTTAGGCCCCCCCAAATACACACACACACACACACACACACACACACACACAGACATATATGCTTTAAAAATCCTCTATGCTTTCCACGATCTACGGTGTTGGTTTTTAAAATATATATATGCATACATGGAGAAAAAATAATTTTAGAAAATAAAATGTATATATATACAAATACATACACACATGTACTTAACAATAACTAAAGAAAATACCCCAGAATTCATTCTGTTATTAGCCACTTCATCTCCGTTTGTTTGCAAAGGTGATTCTTTAGAATTCCATCTTGTAATACTCTGGCATTCTGTTCTTGAGAAAGTTGTAACTTAGCATCATTTCGCTCTTCTACAACCTAGGGACATGTTTTCATTAGGATTTTGGATCACACCATTAAAAAAAAAGTCAAAAGCTTAAGAGAACTTAAAAAAAATGTTCAAAAGTAGTAGCCTTTTTAAATACAAGGATTTTTATCCTGAATAATTCAAATTTTAATTTAAATGAAAGCTAAATTTGTCATAAAGTACAAGGAGATATAGAATGTGAAATAAAATTTCTTTACAAAACATTTAACTAGTTCCATCATAGTCTCAAGGCGATTTGCCCTGTATTTTAACATAAAAAATCCAAAACTGGGGTGCCTGGGTGGCTCAGTTGGTTAAGTATCCTACCCTTGCTTTTGGCTCAGGTCATGGTCTCAGGGTTGTAAGATCCAACCCCGAGTCGGGCTCTTCATTCAGCGCACAGTCTGCTTGAGCTTCTTATTCTTTTCCCTCCTTCTCCCTCCCCCTTTACTCCTTCCCTTGCTCATGCTCTCTCTCTAAAAATAAATAAAATCTTAAAAAAAAAGCCAACATTCACATTTATCTCAATTTACCTTCTATCCCTTCATTCAGGAAATATATAGAGAGCATATAGGAGAAGCCAAGAATCCCAGTGAGTTAATAACTTTAGCTAAAAATATTATAGTTCCTATTTGGATAAAATTAAAGTGTTTATCTATTTTATACCTAAATAATATACATTAAATCAAGGGGATATTATAAGTAATATTGATCGAAATAGGCAATTTTTATCAAAGATTTACCTGATCCAAATTATTTCCTACAGTCCTCAATTCCACATCTAGTGTTCCAAGAGAAAGTTCAAGTTGTTGTTTCAGTTCGACTTCTTTATTATGCTGCTCTTCTTTTACTCTGAATTGCTCCCTCATTTTTTCATATAATATATCAGCATTTCTTCTTTTTTCCTTTTCACGTTTTAAGGTAAATCTGCAAATAAATGTGCTTATTTTAAAATGTTTTGTAAGCGATAAAAAGTTAATTTTATAATCTGGTTCCACATACGTTGGTTTATTAGCCAAATGAAATTTCTGTGTTCTCAATTTTTTTCCTTTCTCGGGCTCATGTTTAATTTCTCACT